TGTCGGTTTCTCTGGTGTCTTTCGGCATACCTACATTGACATTCACACGATCTCTTTTCCTTCTGTCCATCGTAAACAAGTTGCTACGTGTTATTCAATGCTTGCGGTCAGTAACATGCTGTGGTGTAGATAGTGAATATTGTCCAAATATACTCTTCCTATCCAACGTTACCAGATAAAACTAATGACGAACCAACCCAGCCAACCAAGTTGGCCATTGGCGTCCCTGGAGGTTTTGATCTTCCGCATGATCGCTACACGGTTGAAGAGCACTGGTCCTTGGTGCGTCTCCCAGAGGGCGAAGAACTGGAAGTGCCTTGTCCGCCGCCGGACGGTGGAACCCCCAGTGTCAACCACTTGAAGGATCTTGCTCTCTCTGATAAGGTCAAATCCTGCATTTCCAAAGTCCAGTGCACTGAATCGGCTATAATGGCTAGTGAACGTGCCGGAGCTGCGGCCGCTTGGGAATGTGAGAACCCTTGCCCCATCTCAAAATATGCCGAAAAGCTCGTTCAGTTGGACAATTCTGTAAAAATTTCCCCTAAGTGAGCTGCCTTGCATTGTGTGTAATTTAATTTCTGTTTAGTTATATATCTTATGCCCTCTCTATTCCTGACAGATGTTTTTTTAAATCGCAACATAGTTACCCGTTAAGAACCGAAACACATGTTTTTTTTGCATTTTGTCGCATGACAAAACTGTGGGGATTCGGCTCTGCTGTTCTGTATGCTGGTTTTTAGCATATAATCTTCAGATATGTATCAAACTAATCATTTCAACAATTGTCAAAAGCCGGAATAGGGTTTGAGTGCCCAACTGTGATTCTATGAAGGTAACTATATGCATAACAAGGGTGTTTGCCATACTCCCGATATACGTACTCACTCCAAGTTTAGACAAGTGTTTTGTCGGGGAAAAATATCGTCTCTTCGCTCTCAGTATTATTATTAAGCAGTTTTCTCTTGCAATTTTAAGGGCCCCCTTGAAATAACCGAAATCGAGTGAATTTCTGCAGTAGATTGCGTTTCCTTTTCTCTTCTTTCTAACACGTAGTTTATATGGTCTCCCCTTAATTGTAGGGGTCATAAATGTGCCAATTGCGATCTCACCAACAACCTATGGTTGAACCTCTCTGACGGCCACATAGGATGTGGTCGACGATTCTGGGACGGTACCGGGGGCAACAACCATGCAATTGATCACTACAGTGAAACGGGGTACCCACTCGCTGTGAAGCTTGGCACGATCACTTCAACAGTAGGCCTTGTCCCTATACCTGAAAATTAATGTTTCTGTTTGTTGATCCGTTGATTTTTATCCAGAAGTGTCTTGCTTTTCAAAATTGATTCTGCTTACACACCACACGAAGATTGTAGGGAAAAAACACCAGTATCCATATGCTCTCTACTAATTAGCCAGATTTAGACAATGAAATTTAGTAGGTTCTAGCAAGTACTACTATATGCTTTTGGGTAGATAATATTGTTTACTATAGTTTTTACAAAATGGATTAGCGTGCAGTATAGCCCAATGGCAAACTCGCATGCAGTGGCATTCTGGCTTAGCATGGATACTATTTTCAGTCACCTATACTGACTTCGCATGTAGGGGAGAAATAACTACTGAATTCCTAGGTATTCTTGCCTTTGACATTCGACGTTTGTCTTAACTGCATCTTTTCCTTTCCATTTCGAACACATTTTAACGAAATGCCGCGTTTCTGCTTGTTCCGAGAACTTTAAGCTTTCGGAAGGTCAATGCTTTTTTCCGAAAAAATCCATATTTTTCTTCCAGTCCCAATAAAAAATCTCTTGATACTTGTAAAACGCTTAAATTAGTCACGATTGCGTTGCGTTATCTAAATAATTACTAGATTTGCAAGTACCAATCCATTGAACTCCTCGTAGATAAGTCTCAAAATAGGTCATGATTAAGAATTTTTAAGACCATTGTATTCCTCTTCGAAAGTACACAATTAAGTTGGTCGGACACGCCTATTGTAGGGAATGACATGGTTCAGTATAGTTCAGTATATTTAGGGTAGTAGGCAATGCCTTTGAAGACC